TACTAAATGTACAGTGAAGCTTGATGTTTGGATATTTGGAAACATTTTCATAAATTATAGCATTTAGCATATCATTTGTAGTTTTTAGCTTTTTAGGTAAATGGTATGTTCTCATTAGTGCATTTTCATTGCTGAGCCACAGTGCATCAGCTTTCTTTAAAACAGGTCATATAACTAGTAGAGTGCTGTGCAAATTATTTTGTGGTATGTTTTTATAATTTTTCTTAAGCACCTTGATAAATGAGTGGTTTAAAATGAAATAAAAACATTTTTCCACTAAACAATCCTAAAGGGATACTGCAGTTGACCTACACACTCATTAGGCACCACAATAGCTTATCAAAACTGTTACTCCATAATAGTGTCATACACTTAATTTCCCCAGTATATGAAAAACACAGAATAAATAGATGTCATCTGTTCAATATGCTCATGACAAACAAACAATCATTTTGCATTCCTGCAAATAAAATTGTTTTATACTGTAAGCTGGAGGCGAGTGTAACTTATTTTTGTAATAAAGGTTTTTATTTTTATTTTTAAGTGTCATTAATATAAGTGTCTGTTTAGTACAAAGATTGTTTTGATTTATAGTCTCATTGCAGTATGTTTACTTGTACTGGACATTTACTTTTAGCATAGTGGTTGCCAATAAGTTTGTATGTTTCACATTTAATTGAACGTTTGCTATCCCAAATAAATCATTGGTTTGATAAGTTCTGAGATTGCCATGACTTAACCCATCAAACTTCTCTTTAGCCTGCTTAGCTATGCTAATATACGAAGATTTACTTTCTTCTAGAACATTTTACCCCACACGTTTTTAACTGAATTTTAATTTGGCGTTGCAAACCATTGCTTGTAGCACATTTATTCTTTATTACTATTATATAGTATTAAATTGAAAGTTCTTAATTACTGAACATTCTCCTTCTGATATAGTTTACACAACATATGCATGAGTAGTGTTGGTTTCAGTGGTTCCATTTTCAAGCATGCTTCAGAGATGTATTGACATTGTACTTGAGGCTTTAATCACCTGTTTTTGAGATGGAGTTACAAGAACCCAGCCTTTTCCCTTGATATTGATGCACAAAAATGACTCCATACCCTAGATGCTTGCTTACCCTCTGTGAAATCCCTTTGATGTTAATTACAGCAAATCTTTTGCAATATTAGAAGAAATTGCCAAAATTAATAATTAACATTTTATTGCCTGCTACTTACTGCAAGAAAAAGTTCAAGATGCTGGAAAGCAGGTTGATCTTTTTTAAGGACTTCAATTACTGAATCATCTTTACCCTCATTACGTTCTTCCAAACATGTTTAGGTCTGATTTTGAAAAATGTTCCTTGTTCCCTCTTCTAACCAGTTGTGCTACAAATAAATTACTCTATTTAAGACTCAATAGTTAACTCATAGGGAGCCAGATGCTTGTTTTTTTCAGTTTTGTGCTTGCCAGCTGTCCCATTTGTTCATTCTTGCACATTATACCAAACTACTTCATATTAGTTATAATTCATCACACAAATGTCATATTCTTTAGCATTATCCAGTATTTTGAAATTGTACAAATGTTATTTGCCTAAATCCACCACTACCTTAACAACCAAACGTCTGAATCTTTTTATTTAGCATTTTTGCTATTAGGTATTCCTGTTGAATATCAAGCTGTGAAAAGGTTCAGACACTGAAAGATTGTCTTGGGAAAAAAATAGTACAACTTTCTTCCACCAAAATTCTGAATCTGAACTTCTATTCCAGTGAAGCATTTTTTTAAAATCTACATATGTACACCTAAACAATGGCTAGGCAGAATTTAACTGGATTACAAGTTTATAAATCTTTAAAGATTTTTACAGCTTTCTGCCAGTGAGGGTGTAGATGTTTATAACATTCATTTGGGTTTGGGATTGCACCAGTGATTTGCATTATACTGGCTTTGGATTTTCCAGACATATTTTTAAATGTATATAAATAAAGTGATTTACAAAAACACAAAGTGTGTGTGTGTTTCATGAGACCTGGCTAAGGTATGGATATTCTTCAACAAGACTAACATTACTTTTTTTTTTTTTTTCTCTGCTGCTGTACTGTGTAATTTGCTTTAACATTGTCTATGCAGGCTTTATCTCCACATCGCTCTTTACTTTCAAAGCCCTGTATCCACACAGATGAAGTGAATTTGGCAGGTGGCTTGGGTCTGAGACCGTGTTTTCCATGTGGCATCGCAACTTCAAGTATTTTTCTTTGATAGGTCTTGTTAGATTTCTTTTGTTTGTTTTCTATTCAGGAAGCATCAGATGTCCGTTTTCCAATAAGCTATACACGGTTCCTCAGATTTTCTTAGCACAAGCATACTCCTTGAACTGTTATTTGTAGAGTCTATATTTATGAGCAGTTTAACATAAGCAAAGTACTGTGCAATTGTTTTATATTATCTGTTGGTGCCCTGGTAGTTCCCAGGAATTATTGATATTCATTCTATAAAGATCATATATTTCATATGACTTGTTACTTGACCTGCAAATGACAACTTCTCTTAGAATAGTTTGATTTACAGAAAATACTCTCGCAATGTGAGATATTTATCAATCATTGCCATGGAAGCCAGCAGGCACATTTAACTGGTGATTGCTCCACTTTTATGAGCACAACCCTTTCCTAAATCTATCCAATTGGATCTATTTTTATTTTTGTCAATCTCAAGCATATCCTGTCTACCAGCATGCATTGACATAGTACAGTAGAGCTGTTTTTTGATACATATGTCCATTATTATTTTTTTGAGCTAATAAATCCACAAATAATGTGGATGACAAGTTCTGCTTCGTTATTTATATTTATTCCACTTGTAAGTTTATTAGCATTTTACAGAAAAAGTACATTTATGTCTGTTACATCAGTTCATGAAAAGAGAATCCATTTCCAGTGAAATGCCACCTCATTAGTGCAGTTTCATTTTGTACGGAAAGGTTCGTAAAATGGTTAACTTGCTTCAGTGTACCAGCCTAGTAAATGAAAATACATATAGCATACCAAATAAATAAAACCTAATTGCTGGCATACAGTAAATCACCCATGTAATAACTTGGCAAAGTTACTTGTCCTTCGTAACTATCAGTGGATTCCAGATTTTATAATAGGTTGCAAGCCTTTGGTTTTGTCGGTCTGACAAACACTCCCAAACTCCTGATTTCCCAGAGGAGGGCATCAACTACCCTAGCGAGAGTGGGGATTTTAACTAGAAATCCAGTGTGTGACTATGACAATCCTAGTGGCAAGAAATATGTAGCACAACAGTTGTTTCTTGGGTTTGGCCATGTGTTGTGGAAATATATTACGTTAATGCTATTTGTGGGTTTGGGTCAATCTTGAACCCCTGTAAGCAGGGGGAGGCCAGAGAGAAAAAATCCCTCCATAGCGATAGTAAAACGCAGTTCCCCAAGTGTTTAACAAAGTTATACAATTCCCCACATCCAGCATCCCTCCACCTGCCACTCAAGGTGTTAAAGCCGTGTGTTTACCATATATTTTGATATTTGGTAAAGTAGCTCTATATGTGAGGTGTAATGTGTAGTGTGTTAAAGATGGAAAAATTGGCAAAATGTTAATAGTGGGGTCTTAACATAGGCATGGTTCCAAATCTATTACCGTTAATATAACAAAAAAATACTAGTTGGTTTTCAATGATTATCTCCCAATCTGTCTGTATGCATTATACTGAGTGCAAGCTTTGCCTAACTGGTATTCAGGCTCAGCTATATGCACTTACCATAATGCCTGTTGTCTAGTAGGGCCATTTTTCTGGTGTTGCCTGGACACCTATTGGGAAGCAAAATGGTTACCTTCCTGGTGTTCCCAGTCACTCATTCACAAGCATTGGGCACTTTCCTATATAGGTTTCTAGGCGGCTATCAGCAAGCATGGGGCTACTTTCTGAGGATGCATGAGTTGCTATTGGTGAGAAGAGCCACTTTCCCTGTTTGCTTGAATGCCTGTTTCTTGGACCCAGATTACTAGTTAGGTGACAGATTTATTTATTTTTTGCCTGAAGTTACGATTTGTCTAATTATATTTTGCATTTCTGCCCAACAAGCTATTTTGATTTATCAGAGTGATAGTGCTACATAAGACATTATCACTGATCAATATTTTCACTCCCTCAAAAAGAGTATAAGAACGATTTAATTGTAGTCTTTGTAGGAGAAACTTTTTCCTTTTAAAAAAAATAAAGTAAAATCCAGAAATGGATATTTTATTATCAGCCACATGAAGATATTTGACACTCTCATTTTAATCAGCAATTTGATTAATTCATGTGGACAAACTGATTAAAAAGGGTTACTAGAGGCATCATAAGTGCTTCATTTCCATTATAAGCTGGCATGTTGCCCAGTCCCATGGTTAATTGTTAAAATCTTTTTGATGTGACACTGAATGTTGGTTATGTGGGAACATGTGGCAATAAGCAGAGCCACACACCACTGTCACTGGTCTAGCTAATGTTCAAGCAATGTCCCTAATGACATAGAGGGGCCAGGTTATGAGCTGCTTGGATCCTTCACTGTTAAACTAAGCAAAAACTCCAGGCATCATACCCACTTAACTTGTCCCCAGTAGCCTGATGGGGGAGAGGCGGAGCGGATAATAACTTGCCTGTAATGCACTAAAATGATCTAAGGCAGGGGTTCCCAAGCTGGTTACCAAAATTATTTAGGTAACGGTGGCTGCATGGGTTGGGAACCCGGTGAGCATGGGCCGACAGGGAAATCAGAGGATCTCCCCTGCTGGTCCGTGCAGAGCTAGCGTCGGACCTGCTGTATGCCTTCATGGGCCTGTGGGAAGAACAAAAGGAGACGGAAGGACCTCCCGTGAGTTCTGCAATTCTGAGCGTTGCTGTGGATTACCACGGCACCGCTCTGAAGATCTCGCAGGAGGACTGAAATTTGCCTGCAGGCAGAGTAGTGCTGCTAATCTCCACCGGACCACCAGGGCAATGTTCCCCCTCCCCGAATCAAAGGTAAGGAGAGAGGACATACTATGTATGTGTGTGTGTATGTATATATGTGTGTATATGTATGTATGTATATATATATATATATATATGTATGTGTATATATATATATATTTTTTTTTTTTTAATATATAGAAATAGTAATAATAATAAAAAATCTTAAATTACTCCTATCCCCCTTCCCGATGTATAGGCACACACAAGTGCCCCTCACAGACACTACACCCCACACAAAGAGCACCCAGTACACACACACTGAAATGGGGGGGTGGCTAAAAATAGTGCACACACTGCACAGTGTGTATATCTGCATGTGTGTATCGGTCAGGGTGTGTATCCTTAAGTGTCTTTGTATGTGTCAGGGTGTGAGGATGTCAGTGTTTGTATCACACACAGATGCACACCCTGGCACACATGCAGATACAGACACATACATACACTGACCCACTTAATGGTTAATTCTCTGACCGATATCCTGACACACATGCAGATACAAAGACACATAGATGCATACACTGACACACAAGGATTCATACCTTATGTTTCTTTGTATCTGCATGTGTGTCTGGGTATGTGTCGCTGTGCATCTGTTTGTCAGGGTATGTATTTCTGTGTATCTGCACGGGTGTCAGTGTACCTGTTTGTCTGTGTGTCAGGGTACATGTCTGTGTATATGTTACAACAGAAACAAGAATCCCTGCACACAGGTTCCGCTTACAAATTCTGGCCCTCTGTTGTGGAGGTGCTCCGTGCCAAAGGTGGACAACGCTGAATCCACCAGAATACTCATAGAAGCAGGAGGACACAGGCAACACTCCAGGATCAAGAAGGTAAGTTTATTTATGTTAACACCACCTCGCAAAGTGCAACGTCTCAGCTCAACAGAACCTTAATCATGCATAAGGGATACAACATGATAAAGTACTTAAATAACCCCCACCCCAATTAAACAAATTGATCAATTGCATCACATGTTAAACATAGCCATAGAGAGAACTCTAAAACATGACAAGGAGTCTAATAGAAATCCTCAGTAGTACTCAATCATCTTAGAGGTATAATACCCTATTTCATCTTAAAGGTACAAAGCAGAATACGAATCTGTATAATGAGAAAAGTTGGAGAGTAAACCTCCTCAATTATGTGAATACATGAGACAGGAGCAAAGTCTCATTTATTCATATAAATTTGTTTACTCTCCAACTTTTCTCATTGTTATACCGATTTGTATTCTGCTTTGTACCTTTTAAGATTAAAATAGGGTAGTATACCTTTAAGATGATTGAGTGCTACTTAAGAATTCTATTAGACTCCTTGTCATGTTTTAGAGTTCTCTCTATGGATATGTTTAACATGTGATGCAATTGATCAATTTGTTTAATTGGGTGTGGGGGTTATTTAAGCACTTATGTTGTATTCCTTATGCATGATTACTTTGCGAGGTGGTGTTTCCAGAAATAATCTTACCTTCTTGATCCTGGAGTGTTGCCTGTGTCCTGCTTCTGAGGGTATGTATATCTGTCAGTGTGTCTGTTTCAAGGTGTGTCTGACACACATACAGATACACACACACACACACACACACACACACACACACACACACACACACACACACACACACACACACTGACATAGACACATTGACACACATACAATGTCTGTATCTCCATGTGTCAGTGTGAGTCATTGTGTGTATCTGTGTTTCACTGTATCTGCATGCAGATACAGTGAAACACAGATACACACACTGACACATGCAGATACAGACATTGTATGTGTGTAAGTCTGTATCTGTCAGTGTAAGTATCTGTGTGTGTGCCAGACACACAGATACACACCTTGAAACAGACACACTGACGCAGATATACATACACTCAGCAGCAGTAGGACACAGGCAACACTCCAGGATCAAGAAGGTAAGATTATTTCTGAAAAGGAAGGATGGACAGTAGCCTTGGTCCCTGGGCCCCTGTCGCATTCAAAACGCACACAACATTTTAACTAAAGTCAATTGTATTGAATTGCAAAATTTAGGGCAATAGAGTTGGTTTGTATAAATTTTACAACTGTGCTATGTTCACATCTTGTCTATTTAAGCCTGAATTTTGTGATTTGGTCTTCAAGTTATTAAACCTATAACTGTTTAGTGAATTAATCATAGTTTAGCAATAAATAGTGGGGAACTGACAAATTTTAAAATTGTAGGTAGCAAGAGATGAACCTTTATTATCTGAGTTGCCAAATGTTTTAAAATCTGCTATTTTGGCCTTTGTAATTTATTTGTCCGTTCTCT